TGACCACTGAGTGACCACTGAGTGACCACTGACCACTGTCCACTGACCACTGACCCCATAGTGACCACTGAGTGACCCCACACTGACCACACTGACCACTGAGTGACCACTGACCCTACACTGACCACTGAATGACCACTGAGTGACCCCAGAGTGACCCATAGTGACCACTGACCCCACTGACCCCACTGACCCCACTGACCCCACTGACCACACTGACCACAGTGACCACTGACCACTGAGTGACCACTGACCCCTGACCACACTGACCACACTGACCCCTGACCGCTGGCCCCGTGTCCCCGCAGTGACCGCTCTCTGGCCATGCTGACACCGCTGGACGCCTCCGGCCACGGCCTGGCCTGAGCGAGGGCCCGGCCATGCGGCCACGCGGGGGAGGGGCCGGCCACACCGGGGACACCGGGCACCGAGGGGACACCGGGGACACCGGGACCTTCTGCGGGGACATTGCCCGCCGTGGTGGCATCTCCCATGGCTTCGTCTGCCACGGTGGCATCTCCCACGGGAACATCTCCCACGGTGGTGGCATCTCCCATGGGGACATCTCCCACAGTGGTGGCATCTCCCATGGCATCGGTTCCCATGGTGGTGGCACCTGCAATGGTGACGTCTCCAACTGTGGTGGCATCTCCCATGGGGACATTTCCCACGGTGGTGGCATCTCCCATGGCATCGGTTCCCACGGTGGCACCTGCAATGGTGACATCTCCAACTGTGGTGGCATCTCCTATGGGGACACCTCCAATGGTGACGTCTCCAGCAGTGGTGGCACATCCCATGACATCATCAGCCATGGTGGCATCACTTCCCATGGTGGCACCTCCCACAGTGACATCTCCCACAGTGGTGGCATCTCCCATGGCATCGGTTCCCACGGTGGCACCTGCAACGGTGACATCTGCAACAGTGGTGGCATCTGCCATGGGGACGTTTCCTACAGTGACATTTCCAGCTGTGGTGGCATCTCCCATGGTGGCATCTCCTATGGGGACAATTCCTACAGTGACATCTCCAGCAGTGGTGGCATCTCAGATGGTGGCATCTCCCACAGTGGTGGCATTTCTCTCAGTGACATTTCCCACGGTGATGGCATCTCCCATGGTGGCATCTCCCATGGCATCGGTTCCCACTGTGGTGGCACCTGCAACGGCGACGTCTGCAACTGTGGTGACATCTCCCAAGGGGACATCTCCCATGGCGTCATCTCTCAGGGTGACATTTCCTACAGGGACACCTCCAATAGTGGTGGCATTTCCCATGGTGGCACCTCCCATGGTGACATTGCCCACGGTGGTGGCACTTTCCATGATGGTGGCTCCTCCCATGGCATCACCTCCCATGGGGACATCTCCCACAGGGACATCTCCAGCAGTGGTGGCATTTCCCACGGTGGCATCTCTCTCAGTGACATTTCCAACAGTGGTGGCGTCTCCCATGGCATCGGTTCCCATGGTGGTGGCACCTGCAATGGTGACGTCTGCAACAGTGGTGGCATCTGCCATGGGGACGTTTCCTACAGTGACATTTCCAGCAGTGGTGGCATCTCCCATGGTGGCATCTCCCACAGTGGTGGCATTTCTCTCAGTGACATTTCCCACGGTGATGGCATCTCCCATGGTGGCATCTCCCATGGCATCGGTTCCCACTGTGGTGGCACCTGCAACGGCGACGTCTGCAACTGTGGTGACATCTCCCAAGGGGACATCTCCCATGGCGTCATCTCTCAGGGTGACATTTCCTACAGGGACACCTCCAATAGTGGTGGCATTTCCCATGGTGGCACCTCCCATGGTGACATTGCCCACGGTGGTGGCACTTTCCATGATGGTGGCTCCTCCCATGGCATCACCTCCCACGGGGACATCTCCCACAGGGACATCTCCAGCAGTGGTGGCATCTCCCACGGGGACATTTCTTACGGTGGTGGCACCTCCCATGGCATCGGTTCCCATGGTGACATCTCCCACGGGGACATTTCCAGCCGTGGTGGCATCTCCTGTGGTGACATTTCCTACAGTGACACCTGCAACAGCGGTGGCATCTGCCATGGGGACATCTCCAACGGTGGCATCTCCAACACTGGTGGCATCTCCAATGGCATCATCTCCCACGGTGACATCTCCAATGGTGGTGGCACCTCCCACAGTGGCACCTCTAACGGTGGTGACATCTCCCATGGTGGCATCTCCAGTGGAATCGTTTCCCAAGGTGGCATCACTTCCCACGGTGGCATCTCTCTCAGTGACATTTCCCACGGTGGTGGCATCTCCCATGGCATCGGTTCCCATGGTGACATCTCCCACGGGGACATTTCCAGCCGTGGTGGCATCATCTCCCATGGGGACATTTCCTACAGTGACGTCTCCAACACTGGTGGCATCTCCCAAGGGGACATCTCCCATGGCGTCATCGCTCAGGGTGACATTTCCTACAGGGACGTTTCCCGCAGTGGTGGCACCTCCCACCGTGACATTGCCCACGGTGGTGGCACTTCCCATGGTGGCATCTCCCATGGCATCACCTCCCATGGGGACATCTCCCACAGGGACATCTCCAGCAGTGGTGGCATCTCCCATGGTGGCACTTCCCACAGGGACAATTCCCATGGTGGTGGCATCTCCCACAGCATCGGCTCCCACGGTGGTGGCACCTGCAACGGTGACGTCTCCAGCAGTGGTGGCATCTCCCACCGTGGCATCTACAATGGTGACATCTCCCACGGTGACAATTCTCATGGTGACACTTCCCACGGTGGGGGCTCCTCTCATGGAGGCCCCTCCAACAGCGGTGGCACCTCCCATGGTGGCACCTCCTGTGCCACCACCTCCCATGGTGGCACCTCCTGTGCCACCACCTCCCATGGTGGCACCTCCTGTGCCACCACCTCCCATGGTGGCACCTCCTGTGCCACCACCTCCCATGGTGGCATCTCCAGCGGTGGCATCTCGCAGGGTGACATCAGCCACAATGACGTGTGCCACGGTGGTGGCACCTCTCACGTCATGACCCCCCGTGGTGGCACCTCCCAGGGTGGTGACACCTCTAATGGTGGTGACATCTCCAGCGGTGACACCTCCAATGGTGACATCTCCAATGGTGACAATTCCCACATGGACATCTCCCACAGTGGTGGCACCTCCCGTGGTGGCATCTCCAACGGTGACATCTCCCACTGTGGTAGCATCTCCCAGAATGGCGTCTCCCACGGTGACATCGGCCACAGTGACATTTCTTATGGTGGTGTCACCCCCCACAGTGGTGGCATCTCCCACGGTGGCATCTGCAACAAGGACATCTCCAACAGGGACATCTCTGACAGAGGTGGCACCTCCCATGGTGGCACCTCCCATGGTGTCACCTCCAACAGTGACATCTCCCACGGTGGCATCTCCAACAAGGACATCTCCAACAGGGACATCTCTGACAGAGGTGGCACCTCCCATGGTGGCACCTCCCATGGTGGCACCTCCCATGGTGTCACCTCCAACAGGGACATCTCCAACAGGGACATCTCCAACAGGGACATCTCCCATGGTGACATCTCCAAGAGGGACATCTCCAACAGGGACATCTCAAACAGGGACATCTCCCATGGTGACATCTCCAAGAGGGACATCTCCAACAGGGACATCTCCAACAGGGACATCTCCCATGGTGACATCTCCAACAGGGACAACTCCCATGGTGGCACATCCAACAGGGACATCTCCCATGGTGGTGACATCTCCTGTGGTGACACCTCCCATGGTGACACCTCCCATGATGGTGGCACCTCCCACAGTGACATCTCCAAGAGTGGCACCTCCCACAATGACGTCTGCCATGATGGTGGCATCTCCAATGGGGACATCTCCCATGGTGACATCTCCAATAGGGACATCTCCCATGGTGGTTTCTCCAACAGGGACATCTCCCATGGTGGCACCTCCAACGGGGACATCTCCAACAGGGACATCTCCAACAAGGACATCTCTGACAGAGGTGGCATCTCCCCTGGTGGCATCCCCAACAAGGACATTGCCGACAGAGGTGGCATCTCCAACAGTGACATCTCCCATGGTGGTGATATCTCCTGTGGTGACACCTCCCATGGCTTTGGCACCTCCCACAGTGACATCTCCAACCGTGGCACCTCCCATGATGGTGACACCTCCCACGATGGTGACATGTCCCATGGTGGTGGCATCTCCCAGGGCTTTGGCACCTCCCATGATGGTGTCACCTCCCATGGCTTTGACACCCCCCACGACAGTGACACCTCCCATGATGGTGACATCTGCCATGATAGTGGCACCTCCCATGGTGGTGGCATCTCCCAGGGCTTTGGCACCTCCCATGGTGGTGCCACCTTCCGTGGTGGTGTCACCTCCCACAGTGGCACCTCCCACAATGGTGCCACCTCCCATGACAGTGCCACCTCCCATGGTGGTGGCATCTCCCAGGGCTTTGAGACCTCCCATGATGGTGTCACCTCCCGTGGTGGTGCCACCTCCCACGATGGTGCCACCTCCCATGGCTTTGACACCTCCCATGGTGGTGCCACCTCTCAAAGTGACACCTCCCATGGTGGTGCCACCTCCCATGATGGTGACACCCTCCATGACAGTGACACCTCCCACAGTGATGCCACCTCCCACAGTGACACCTCCCATGGTGGTGCCACCTCCCATGGCTTTGATACCTCCCGTGGTGGTGCCACCTCCCACAGTGACACCTCCCACGATGGTGCCACCTCCCATGGCTTTGCCACCTCCCGTGGTGTCACCACCCGCCGTGGCATTCCCAGCCCCGGTGCCACCTTCGCCCGCTGCCCCGCCGTCCCCGCGCTGTCGCCGCTGCCGCGCTGCCCCCTGCCCTTCCTCCTCCTCCTGCTGCTGCTGCTGCTCGCTGGAGGGGGGGGAGGTGGGGAGATGGAGATGGGGAGATGGAGGTGGAGGTCGGGAGATGGAGGTGGAGATGGAGGTGGCGAGATGGAGTTGGAGAGATGGAGGTGGAGGTGGGGAATGGAGGTGGAATGGAGACATGGAGGTGGGATGGAAATGGAGATGGGGATGGGGATGGAGGTGGAGGTGGGATGGAGGTGGAGAGATGGAGGTGGAGATGGAGGTGGAGGTGGAGAGATGGAGGTGGAGATGGGGATGGAGGGGGAGAGATGGAGGTGGAGGTGGAGATGGAGGTGGGGAGATGGAGGTGGAGATGGAAAGATGGAGATGGAGATGGAGGTGGGATGGAGATGGAGGTGGAGATGGAGGTGGAATGGAGATGGAGGTGGAGATGGGGATGGAGGTGGAGAGATGGACATGGAGATGGAAAGATGGAGGTGGAGATGGGGATGGAGGTTGGAAAGAGATGGAGATGGAAAAATGGAGGTGGAGATGGACATGGGGATGGGGGTGGAGATGGAAAGATGGACATGGAGATGGAGTTGGGATGGAGATGGAGGTGGAGGTTGGAGGGAGGTGGAGATGGAGATGGAAAAATGGAGATGGGGATGGAGGTGGGACGGAGAGATGGAGGTGGGATGGAGGTGAGGATGGGGATGGGGATGGAGGTGGAGGTGGAGATGGAGATGGAGATGGAGGTGGAGATGGAGATGGAGATGGAGATGGAGATGGGGATGGAGATGGAGATGGGGATGAGGATGGAGATGGAGATGGAGATGGAGATGGAGATGGAGATGGAGATGGAAAGATGGAGGTGGAGATGAGGATGGAGGTGGAGGTTGGAGGGAGGTGGAGATGGAGATGGAAAAATGGAGATGGGGATGGAGGTGGGATGGAGGTGAGGGTGAGGATGGGGATGGAGATGGAGGTTCACATGGAGGGGGAATGGAGGTGGGATGCAGATGGAGATGGAAAAATGGAGGTGGAGATGGAGGTGGGATGGAGGGGGAGATGGAGGTGGGATGGAGGTGGAGATGGAGGGGGAATGGAGGTGAAGATGGAAAGATGGAGATAGAGATGGGATGGATGAAGATGGTGGTCAAGGATGGAGGGACAGATGGATGGATGGATGGATGGACGGATGGATGGATGGACGGATGGACGGACAGATGAAGGATGGATGAAGATGATTGACATGGATGGATGGATGCATGGAAGGACAGATGGATGGATGGACGTATGGACACATGAAGGATGGATGATGATGGTGGATGTGGATGGATGGAAGGATGGACAGATGGACAGATGAAGGACGGATGAAGATGGTGGACATGGGATGGATGGAAGGATGGACAGATGAAGGACAGATGAAGGACGGCTGAAGTCCAGGCGCGGTGCCCGGTGCCACCACGCCCACACCCGTGTCCCCGCGTGTCCCTCCCCGGCAGTGGTGCTGATGTGCATGCACTCCGTGCTGCTGGGCGGCCGCGAGCAGAAGGTTCTCCTGGAGAAGGCCGAGGACCGCCACAACCATCTTTGTTGACCCTGGCCAATGGGAGATGATCATGACCATTGCAAGATGACCACGGCCAACACAAAATGACCATGGCCAATGGGAGATGGCCATGACCATCTTGGTTGACCACCGCCAATGAAAGATAACCATGGCCAACGCAAGATGACCATGGCCAATGAAAGCTGACCGTGGCCACCTCCATTGACCATGGCCAATGGGAGATGACCATGGCCAACACAAGCTGACCGTGGCCACCTCCACTGACCATGGCCAACACCAAACAACCGCATCCAACCCAACCCAACCCAACCCAACCCAGCCCAAGCCAAGCACCCCGAGCTGCCCGCCCTGGTGTCACCCTCACGTCCCCCCTGTCCCCCGCCAGGTCCACCCGCTCTTCTCCACCATCTACAACTCCATCTACTTCCTGGCCACGGCGGTGGAGGCGGCGCGCCGCAGCGGCCGCTGGGTGATGGGCACCAGCGTGGCCGACCACGCCCGCGACTTCCAGCTCCAGGGCTTCTGCCAGACCTTCACCGTGGACCGGGACGGCGACGTCTCGGTGCCCTACGTGGTGCTGGACACGGACGGCAAGGGCCACCACCTGTGGGCGGTCTACGGGCTGGAGCCGGGCACGCGCGGCCTCAGCTACCGCAGCCACAGCCCCCACTGGCCCCACAGCGCCAGCCCGGCCACCGACGCCGGCTGCTGGTTCGACTCCGGCGCCATCTGCAACGGCGGTGAGCGGGGCCACCGGGGCCACCGGGAGGGTGGTGGTGGCGGGTCTGGGTCTGCTGGGGTGCCACCATGGTTCTGGTGCCACCATGGTTCTGGATGATTGGGGTCATGGTGCCACCATGGTTCTGGGTCAGCTGTGGTGTCACCATGGTCGTGGTGCCACCATGGAGCTGGAATGGACATGGCGGTGGTGGTAGGGGTGGGTCTGGGTCATCTGTGGTGCCACCATGGTCGTGGTGCCACCTTGGTTCTGGAATGGTCGTGGTGGTGGTGCCACCATGGTTCTGGGTCAATTGGGGTCACGGTGCCACCACGTCCATGTGTCCATCTGCCCACGTGTCCATCTGTCCGTCCATCCTCTCCCGGCTCCACCGTGTCCACCCACAGGTGACCTCCAGTGACACTGGGTGACATCGGTTCCCCGGGTGACCACATCGCCCTGGTCACTCCTGGCCACTCCTGTGGTCACTCCCAGTCAACCCTGGTCACTCCTGCTCCCTCCTGGTCACTCCTGGTCCCCCCGGTCACTCCTGTGGTCACTCCTGGTCACCCCTGGTCATCCCTGATCACTCCTGTGGTCACTCCTGTTCACTCCCCGTCACCCCTGGTCACTCCTGGTCACTTCTGGCCACTCCTGTGGTCACTCCTGGTCACTGGTCACTCCCGTGGTCACTCTGGTCACCCCCATGGTCACTCTGGTCACCCCCGTGGTCACTCTGGTCACTCTGGTCACCCCCATGGTCACTCTGGTCACCCCCGTGGTCACTCTGGTCACCCCCATGGTCACTCCTGTGGTCACTCTGGTCACCCCCGTGGTCACTCTGGTCACCCCCGTGGTCTCTCCGCAGGGATGGACGCCGGCTTCGTCTTCTTCCTCTTCCTCCTCATCGCCGCCCTCGTCGCGGCCGGCGCCGCCCTGGCCTGCCACATCAGGTGGGTGGCCCTGGTGGCCCTGGTGGCCCCAGTGTCCCTGGTGGCCTTGGTGGTCTTGGTGTCCCCTCAGCAGCTCCGTGTCCCTGCCCTGGTGGCCCTGGTGGCAGCTCGGTGTCCCCATTGTCACCTGGCTGTCCCCATTGTCCCCTGTGTAACCCCACTGTGCCCAATGTCCCCTCAGTGTTCCCAATCCCCCTCCATCTCCAATGTCACCAGTGTCCTCAATGTCCCAAATGTCCCCAATGTCCTCAATCCCCTCAATCCCCCCAGTGTCCCCGCTGTCCCCACTATCCCCAGTGTCCCCATGGTGTCTCCAATCCCCCCACTGTCCCCAATGTCCCCAATCCCCTCAATCTCCTCAATCCCCCGGGACACCGCAGGGACACCAGGACACCAGGGACACCGGGACATTGGGGACACTGGGACACCGGGGACACTGGGACACCACGGGGACATTGGGACACTGGGACAGCAATGGGGACACTGGGACAGCAATGGGGACACCAGGACACCATGGGGACACTGGGGACACCCTGGGGACATTGGGGATAGTGGGGACACACAGGGACACCTTGGGGACATTGGGGACACAGGGACAGCAATGGGGACACTGGGGACAACGGGGACAGCGATGGGGACACTGGGACAATGGGGGGATTGGCAACATGGGGGACACTGGGGACATTAATGGGGATATGGGGACACTGGGGACACTGGGGACACCGGGACAGCAATGGGGACACCATGGGGACATTGGGGACACGGGGACAGCAGGGAAAATGGGGACAGTGGAACAGTGGGACCTTGGAGACATTGGGGGACACTGGGGGGATTTGGGACAGCCAGGTGACATTGGGGACACTGGGGACACTGGGGGGATTGGGGACATTGGGGACAGCAGAGACATTGAGGACACTGGGGACACCATGGGGACATTTAGGACACCATGGGGACAATGGGGACATTGGGGGACATTGGGGACAGTGGGTACACTGGGGACAATGGGGACAGCAATGAGTGACCCCCGGTGACCCTGTGTGACCCCTGTGACCCTGTGTGACCCCTGTTTGTCCCCTCTGTCCCCTGCAGGTGGAAACCCTGAACCCCAAAACTGACCCAAAACTGACCCAAAACTGACCCTAAACTGACCCGGCACTCCAACACTGCCCCTAAACCTACCCCGAAACCCCAAAACTGCTCCAAAACCCACCCCAAAACCAACCGTAAAACCCACCCAGGCACCCAAAACTGAACCAAAACCCCAAAACTGAACCAAAACCCCAAAACTGACCCAAAACCTCAAAACCCACCCCAAAACTGCGCCTAAACCTGCCCCGGCACCCCAAAACTGCCCGAGTGACCCCAAAACCGCCCTGATCCCCCCAAAACTGCCCAAACCCGTCCTCATGCACCCCAAAACTGCCCCAAAACGTCCCGGAGTGTCCCCAGGTGTGTCCCAGCTGTCCCAGGTGTGTCCCAGCTGTCCCCAGGTGTGTCCCAGGTGTTCCCAGGTATCCCAGGTGTGTCCCCACGTGTATCTCCGGTGTCCCCAGCTGTGTCCCAGGTGTCCCCAGGTGTGTCCCCCGGTGTATCTCAGGTGTCCCCAGGCGTCCCCAGGTGTCCCCAGGTGTCCCCAGGTGTGTCCCCAGCTGTCCCAGGTGTGTCCCAGGTGTGTCCCCAGTGTCCCCAGGTGTCCCCAGTGTCCCCAGGTGTCCCCAGCTGTCCCAGGTGTGTCCCCAGGTGTGTCCCCAGCTGTCCCAGGTGTGTCCGGGTCTCACCTGCCCCTCCCCCGCAGGGTGACTGGGTGTGGCTGAAGAAGTTCCCGGGGGAGCAGCACACGGAGGTGAAACCGGCCACCAAGCTGGCCTTCTGCAAGGTGAGGGGACACGGGGACACGGGGGGGACACGGGGACACCAGGGGACACGGGGACATCGGGGACACCGGGGGGACACAGGGACACCGGGGGACACGGGGACACTGGGGGACACGGGGACACAGGGACACTGGGGGGACACAGGGACACCAGGGGACATGGGGACATTGCGGGGACACCAGGACATGGGGACACCGGGACACTGGGGGACACGGGGACATGGAGGACACAGGGACATTGAGAGGACACCGGGGACACTGGGGGGTGTGGGGACATCGAGGGGACACCGGGGGATATTGAGGGGACACAGGGACACTGGGGGACACGGGGACACCAGGGGGACACGGGGACATTGAGGGGACACGAGGACACCGGGGACACCGGGACACTGGGGGGACACCGGGGGGACACTGGGGACATGGAGACACCTGGGGGACATGGGGACATTGAAGGGACACGGGGACACTGGGGGACACCAGGGGGACATGGGGACACTGGGGGGACACCGGGACACTGGGGGGACACAGGGGGACATTGGGGGGACACCGGGATACTGGGGGGGATGTGGGGACACTGGGGGGACACGGGGACACCGGGGACAGCGGGACACTGGGGGGACACCGGGGGGACACTGGGGACATGGAGACACCTGGGGGACAGGGGGACATTAAGGGGACACGGGGACATTGAAGGTCTTGGAGACATCATTGGGTCACGGGGACACCCCAAAACCCACCAGAACCCACCCCAAAACCCACAAAACTGACCCCAAACTGCCTGGCACCACAAAACCCACCCTAAACCCACCCCAAAAACCCCAAAACTGACCCAAAACCAACCCTGAACCCCAAAACTGACCCAAAACTGACCCAAAACTGACCCAAAACTGACCCAAAACTGACCCAAAACTGACCCAAAACTGACCCAAAACTGACCCAAAACTGACCCAAAACTGACCCAAAACTGACCCAAAACTGACCCTAAACTGACCCGGCACTCCAACACTGCCCCTAAACCTACCCCGAAACCCCAAAACTGCTCCAAAACCCACCCCAAAACCAACCGTAAAACCCACCCAGGCACCCAAAACTGAACCAAAACCCCAAAACTGAACCAAAACCCCAAAACTGACCCAAAACCTCAAAACCCACCCCAAAACTGCGCCTAAACCTGCCCCGGCACCCCAAAACTGCCCGAGTGACCCCAAAACCGCCCTGATCCCCCCAAAACTGCCCAAACCCGTCCTCATGCACCCCAAAACTGCCCCAAAACGTCCCGGAGTGTCCCCAGGTGTGTCCCAGCTGTCCCAGGTGTGTCCCAGCTGTCCCCAGGTGTGTCCCAGGTGTGTCCCAGCTGTCCCCAGGTGTGTCCCAGGTGTTCCCAGGTATCCCAGGTGTGTCCCCACGTGTATCTCAGGTGTCCCCAGCTGTGTCCCAGGTGTCCCCAGGTGTGTCCCCCGGTGTATCTCAGGTGTCCCCAGGCGTCCCCAGGTGTCCCCAGGTGTCCCCAGGTGTGTCCCCAGCTGTCCCAGGTGTGTCCCAGGTGTGTCCCCAGTGTCCCCAGGTGTCCCCAGTGTCCCCAGGTGTCCCCAGCTGTCCCAGGTGTGTCCCCAGGTGTGTCCCCAGCTGTCCCAGGTGTGTCCGGGTCTCACCTGCCCCTCCCCCGCAGGGTGACTGGGTGTGGCTGAAGAAGTTCCCGGGGGAGCAGCACACGGAGGTGAAACCGGCCACCAAGCTGGCCTTCTGCAAGGTGAGGGGACACGGGGACACGGGGGGGACACGGGGACACCAGGGGACACGGGGACATCGGGGACACCGGGGGGACACAGGGACACCGGGGGACACGGGGACACTGGGGGACACGGGGACACAGGGACACTGGGGGGACACAGGGACACCAGGGGACATGGGGACATTGCGGGGACACCAGGACATGGGGACACCGGGACACTGGGGGACACGGGGACATGGAGGACACAGGGACATTGAGAGGACACCGGGGACACTGGGGGGTGTGGGGACATCGAGGGGACACCGGGGGATATTGAGGGGACACAGGGACACTGGGGGACACGGGGACACCAGGGGGACACGGGGACATTGAGGGGACACGAGGACACCGGGGACACCGGGACACTGGGGGGACACCGGGGGGACACTGGGGACATGGAGACACCTGGGGGACATGGGGACATTGAAGGGACACGGGGACACTGGGGGACACCAGGGGGACATGGGGACACTGGGGGGACACCGGGACACTGGGGGGACACAGGGGGACATTGGGGGGACACCGGGATACTGGGGGGGATGTGGGGACACTGGGGGGACACGGGGACACCGGGGACAGCGGGACACTGGGGGGACACCGGGGGGACACTGGGGACATGGAGACACCTGGGGGACAGGGGGACATTAAGGGGACACGGGGACATTGAAGGTCTTGGAGACATCATTGGGTCACGGGGACATCATTGGATCATCATGGACAACGTGGGGTCATGGGGCCGCTGAGGTGTCATGGGACATCGTTGGGTCATGGGGACATCGTTGGGTCATGGGGACAT